GGCTTTGAGTTCGCTGCGTCACCTAGGGGGGGGGGGGGGGGCTTGAGTTCGCTGTGTCCCCTAGGGGGGGGGGGGGGGGGCTTGAGTTCGCTGCGTCCCCTAGGGGGGGGGGGGCTTTGAGTTCGCTGCGTCCCTAGGGGGGGGGGGGGGGGTTTGAGTTCGCTGTGTCCCTGGGGGGGGGGGGGGGGGCTTGAGTTCGCTGTGTCCCTGGGGGGGGGGGGGGGGGGTTTGAGTTCGCTGTGTCCCTGGGGGGGGGGCTTTGAGTTCGCTGTGTCCCTGGGGGGGGGGGGGGGGCTTTGAGTTCGCTCGTCCCTAGGGGGGGGGGGGGGGCTTTGAGTTCGCTGCGTCCCTAGGGGGGGGGGGGGGGGCTTTGAGTTCGCTGCGTCCCTAGGGGGGGGGGGGGGGGGGCTTTGAGTTCGCTGCGTCCCCTGGGGGGGGGGGGGGGGGCTTGAGTTCGCTGCGTCCCCTAGGGGGGGGGGGGGGGCTTTGAGTTCGCTGCGTCCCCTAGGGGGGGGGGGGGGGCTTTGAGTTCGCTGCGTCCCATAGGGGGGGGGGGGGGCTTTGAGTTCGCTGCGTCCCCTAGGGGGGGGGGGGGCTTTGAGTTCGCTGCGTCCCCTAGGGGGGGGGGGGGGGGCTTTGAGTTCGCTGCGTCCCCTAGGGGGGGGGGGGGGGCTTTGAGTTCGCTGCGTCCCCTGGGGGGGGGGGGGGGCTTTGAGTTCGTTGCGTCCCCTGGGGGGGGGGGGGGGGGCTTTGAGTTCGCTGCGTCCCCTAGGGGGGGGGGGGGGGGCTTTGAGTTCGCTGCGTCCCCTAGGGGGGGGCTTTGAATTCGCTGTGTCCCCTAGGGGGGGGGGGCTTTGAGTTCGCTGCGTCCCCTAGGGGGGGGGGGGGGGGCTTTGAGTTCGCTGCGTCCCCTAGGGAGGGGGGGGCTTTGAGTTCGCTGCGTCCCCTAGGGGGGGGGGGGGCTTTGAGTTCGCTGCGTCCCCTAGGGGGGGGGGGCTTTGAGTTCGCTGCGTCCCCTGGGGGGGGGGGGGGGGGCTTTGAGTTCGCTGCGTCCCCTAGGGGGGGGGGGGGGGGCTTTGAGTTTGCTGCGTCCCCTAGGGGGGGTGGGGGGCTTGAGTTCGCTGCGTCCCCTAGGGGGGGGGGGGGGCTTTGAGTTCGCTGCGTCCCCTAGGGGGGGGGGGGGCTTTGAGTTCGCTGCGTCCCCTGGGGGGGTGGGCGGCTTTGAGTTCGCTGCGTCCCCTAGGGGGGGGGGGGGGGGCTTTGAGTTCGCTGCGTCCCCTAGGGGGGGGGGGGGGGGCTTTGAGTTCGCTGCGTCCCCTAGGGGGGGGGGGGGGGCTTTGAGTTCGCTGCGTCCCCTGGGGGGGGGGGGGGGCTTGAGTTCGCTGCGTCCCCTAGGGGGGGGGGGGCTTTGAGTTCGCTGCGTCCCCTAGGGGGGGGGGGGGGGGGCTTTGAGTTCGCTGCGTCCCCTAGGGGGGTGGGGGGGGGGCTTTGAGTTCGCTGCGTCCCCTAGGGGGGGGGGGGGGGGCTTTGAGTTCGCTGCGTCCCCTGGGGGGGGGGGGACTTTGAGTTCGCTGCGTCCCCTAGGGGGGGGGGGGGGCTTTGGGTTCGCTGCGTCCCCTAGGGGGGGGGGGGGGGCTTTGAGTTCGCTGCGTCCCTAGGGGGGGGGGCTTTGAGTTTGCTGCGTCCCCTAGGGGGGGGGGGGGGCTTTGAGTTCGCTGTGTCCCCTAGGGGGGGGGGGGGGGGGGCTTTGAGTTAGCTGCGTCCCCTAGGGGGGGGGGGGGGCTTTGAGTTCGCTGCGTCCCCTAGGTGGGGGGGGGGGGGGGCTTTGAGTTCGCTGCGTCCCCTAGGGGGGGGGGGGGGGGGCTTTGAGTTCGCTGCGTCCCCTAGGGGGGGGGGGGGGGCTTGAGTTCGCTGTGTCCCCTAGGGGGGGGGGGGGGGGGCTTTGAGTTAGCTGCGTCCCCCTAGGGGGGGGGGGGGGCTTTGAGTTCGCTGCGTCCCTAGGTGGGGGGGGGGGGGGGCTTTGAGTTCGCTGCGTCCCCTAGGGGGGGGGGGGGGGGGCTTTGAGTTCGCTGCGTCCCCTAGGGGGGGGGGGGGCTTTGAGTTCGCTGCGTCCCCTAGGGGGGGGGGGGGGGGGGTTTTGAGTTCGTTGCGTCCCCTAGGGGGGGGGGGGGTGGGGCTTTGAGTTCGCTGTGTCCCCTGGGGGGGGGGCTTTGAGTTCGCTGCGTCCCCTAGGGGGGGGGGGGGCTTTGAGTTCGCTGCGTCCCCTAGGGGGGGGGGCTTTGAGTTCGCTGCGTCCCCTAGGGGGGGGGGGGGCTTTGAGTTCGCTGCGTCCCCTAGGGGGGGGGGGGGGCTTTGAGTTCGCTGAGTCCCCTAGGGGGGGGGGGGGCTTTGAGTTCGCTGCGTCCCCTAGGGGGGGGCTTTGAGTTCGCTGCGTCCCCTAGGGGGGGGGGGGGCTTTGAGTTCGCTGCGTCCCCTAGGGGGGGGGGGGGGGGGGCTTTGAGTTCGTTGCGTCCCTAGGGGGGGGGGGGGGGGCTTTGAGTTCGCTGTGTCCCCTGGGGGGGGGGGGGGGGCTTTGAGTTCGCTGCGTCCCCTAGGGGGGGGGGGGGCTTTGAGTTCGTTGCGTCCCCTAGGGGGGGGGGGGGCTTTGAGTTCGCTGTGTCCCCTAGGGGGGGGGGGGGGGCTTTGAGTTCGCTGCGTCCCCTAGGGGGGGGGGGGGGCTTTGAGTTCGCTGCGTCCCCTAGGGGGGGGGGGGGGGCTTTGAGTTCGCTGCGTCCCCTAGGGGGGGGGGGGGGCTTTGAGTTCGCTGCGTCCCCTAGGGGGGGGGGGGGGGGCTTTGAGTTCGCTGCGTCCCCTAGGGGGGGGGGGGGGGCTTTGAGTTCGTTGCGTCCCCTAGGGGGGGGGGGGGGGGGGCTTTGAGTTCGCTGTGTCCCCTGGGGGGGGGGGGGGGGCTTTGAGTTCGCTGCGTCCCCTAGGGGGGGGGGGGGGCTTTGAGTTCGCTGTGTCCCCTAGGGGGGGGGGGGGCTTTGAGTTCGCTGTGTCCCCTAGGGGGGGGGGGGGCTTCGAGTTCGCTGTGTCCCCTAGGGGGGGGGGGGGCTTCGAGTTCGCTGTGTCCCCTAGGGGGGGGGGGGGGCTTTGAGTTCGCTGTGTCGCTGTTCAGAACTGTAGCTATCCCCCACATCCCCCGCCCCCCACAACGCTCATCCAAATTGAACAACGATCGTATTTTTGTAATTTATGAAGCTCCCCTAAATTAATCGTTCTCGGGGGCGCTGTGCATGGAAAGGGATGAAAAATTGTTTAACAAATTGTTTAACGAAAGGAAAGGAGTGAGACGTTTGAAAGTAACTAAAGAGAGAGAGAGCTATTTTAAACGGGGACACGTTTCTAAGTCGAGATTCGTAGATGCGCAGAACGTTGTCTCGGAAGTCGTCCCATGACTCCTCGACGGAGCAAGAGGGGAGCTCCGGAGTTTATCTGTCGCAATGTCAAAGCCACCGTCACCCCCCCCCCCCCCCCCCCCCGAGAGAGAGACAGAGAACCAGGGCACGCTACGGCGAGCGACAAAGCGATTTTGTGCGAGGAGCGGAGAGCGATTTTTTTTACATTTTTTAAATATTTTTACACGCTTTTTATTAACTCACTCTGGCTGCTGTTGTTATTGTTGTTGTTGTTATTATTGTTGTTGTTATTATTGTTGTTGTATCCTCAAATCTTGTAACTCAATTTTAACCCACTTGTTCCCAATGTGGTATCGACTGCAAACTTGATATTCAGATTCCCAAGAACACAGGATGAGATGTTACTATCCTTTGTGCAAGCAATTCCAAGAGTTCATGAACAGTGAGCCTGGTGAAATTTGGGGAGCGCATCGTCAGTAGTGACCCTTTGGTTCCTAGGGTGTTTCGGCCTTTCACACGATACACCCTCCCCAAAGGCGGCCAGCGACAGGGTGATCAATCCTACGCTTGCGTCCCATTCCCAATTAGTCATAGGAGTTGCCTTGTTGTTGGTAGCCAACATCCCATGGGACTGCATGGCAGGGGCGTCCTCCTCCCTGAGTCAATCATTGTTGACTGCATACCTCCTGGCCCTCTCACTTTGGGGCCCAGCTGGGGTCTTTCCTCTTCATCCAGAGCCACTGACTGCTGCCTTCTGCCGCCTCCGATACAGCTTTGATTGCCGAACGCTGGCTCTGGCCCTTAATTCCCAGGTCTCTAAGCAGTCTGGTTGTAGATGTTGCCACAAAACCTCTGCAGCCCACCTCCACTGGTCGGACTTCTGTGTTCCAGCCATGATGCCGTGCTTCGGCAGCTAGATCGGCATAGCGCAGATGTTTTCGCTCATAAGCCTCATCTACTGAGTCCTCCCAGGGTACTGTGAGCTCAATATGGTATTGTCATACTTATGACAATACCATATTCTATAATAAAAAATTAAAAATATATGTATTTTTAAATCCTTTATATTAAGTTCGCTTGCTTGCTTGCTTACGACCGTGCAAATCTTTCGGTCGTTTTTTAACCCACTTCCCGTGATCCAATCGAGCTGACATTTTGCACACAGACTCGTTGTGCGAGACAATTAATTTTCGTGAAAATTTTTTCCCAAAATTTTACACTTTTTAGGAAAAAATAAATTATATTTCATTACCAATTGCTTAATGGTGGCAAGCAATCATCTGACCCATAGGTGGCAGCCATCTCAAGCCAGAGGACGAGAGGACTCTAGCCGCCACGCATATAAAGGATTTATAGTGAAATACTTTGTTTTTACAGGTTAATTTTTTTAATATTATTTTTTTAGATGTTATGTTTCGGCTTGGGTCTAATTGTCCACGCTCAACTGACGTTGGCTGTAATTGGCCACGGTCCCTTACATCATGGCAAGCTTCGGGGTCACTTAATTGAGTCGTGGAGTTATTCCATTACTAGTACATTTCATTAAAGTGTGTTTAAAAAAAAAATTACACATTCCTTATTTTGATTTGCGAGGCTCTGTAATTCACGTCGTCTTCCCCTGTCCCCTCGTCCCGTCCGGCATTCCCCGCGCCGCTCCCGGCAATTTTTTTTAGGTTTCTCGCGGAGGTGCCCAGCCGGGCGGAGCTGGAGAGGGAGATGCTGGGCCTGCAGGAGACGCTGGCTGGCCTGGGCTCTCCCGTGGTGCTCTGCCACAACGACCTGCTCGTCAAGAACATCATCTACAACGCGGAGAAAGGTGCGGGGCTACGCCGGCTACTGACCTTCGCAACACGCACGACGCCTAGATCACACACACACACACGCCTAGATTACACACGTACACACGCCTAGCTTACACACATACTACACCTAGATTACACACACACGCGCACACGCCTAGCTTACGCGCACACACGCCTAGCTTACACACACTACACCTAGATTACACACACGCACACGCCTAGCTTACGCGCACACACGCCTAGCTTACACACACTACACCTAGATTACACACACGCACACGCCTAGCTTACGCGCACACACGCCTAGCTTACACACACTACACCTAGATTACACACACACGCGCACACGCCTAGCTTACACACACACTACATATAGATTACACACACTACACCTAGATTACACGCACACACACACGCCTAGCTTACACGCACACACGCCTAGCTTACACACACTACACCTAGATTACACGCACACACACACGCCTAGCTTACGCGCACACACGCCTAGCTTACACACACTACACCTAGATTACACGCACACACACACGCCTAGCTTACACACACACTACATATAGATTACACACACGCACACGCCTAGCTTACACACACACTACACATAGATTACACACACGCACACGCCTAGCTTACACACACACTACACATAGATTACACACACGCACACACCTAGCTTACACACACACTACACATAGATTACACACACGCACACACCTAGCTTACACACACACTACACATAGATTACACACACGCACACGCCTAGCTTACACACACACTACACATAGATTACACACACGCACACGCCTAGCTTACACACACACTACACATAGATTACACACACGCACATGCCTAGCTTACACACACACTACATATAGATTACACACACGCACACGCCTAGCTTACACACACACTACACATAGATTACACACACGCACACGCCTAGCTTACACACACACTACACATAGATTACACACACACACCTAGCCTACATACACACATACACCCCTAACTTACACACACACACACTACACCTAGATTACACACACACGCACACACCCCTAGCTTATACACACACACCTAGCCTCCATGCACGCACACACATACACACACACACTACACCTAGATTACACACACGCGCACACACCCCTAGCTTACCCATACGCACACACATACACGCACACACCTAGCCTCCACACACACACCTAACTTACACACACACTACACCTAGATTACACACCCACACACACACCTAGCCTCCACACACAAACACCTATCCCCAACGTCACGCGTTCAAACTATTTGGCTGCCGCTGTGAATGTCCACGCGACGATGACGACGACGACGATGACGACGACGACGACGACGACGACGACGACGTCTGTGAAGCCCTACTTTGTTGAGCAAACGTTTAGTGGCCCGGCCGCTTCCCCAAAAGAACTGCCCAGCTCCAGTGCGCCTTTGCCTGCTGGTAACGTGGGCGAGGAAACAAAGATAATGTTCTATAATTTACATCAACACTGCTGGTTTAAATCCGGTGCGTTCAGGCGGCTTCTGATCTCTGCTGACCAAGTCTGAACCGGTATCTCGCGGCCTGTATCCCCCCCCCCCGCGCCCCCCTTACGAGCCCGGGGGGGGGGGGGGGGGGGGCGTGGGGGAACAGGGCAGCTGCGTGCGGCGCGGCATTCTAGATTTGAAGCTTTCGTGACTGCAAGGATTCATATTCTGAGGTTTTTTCGGTAAAGTCACCGTGTAGGTAAAAACATTAAAATTAATAAAAGTAAAATAAAATAAAACGTCGTGATTTTTGTTTTACTGTTATTAATTTTAATGTTTTTACCTACACGGTGACTTTACCGAAAAAACCTCAGAATATGTGGCCCCGCAGATCACTTTGTGCGCCTCTTCTTCTTCCTGCTGCTCCTCCGGCAGCTTGTCGCCCTGAGACGCCGCCGTACAAGCGCACGTTGCCGATTGCGCGTTTTGTTTGTTGTTTGTTGTTGTTGTTGAATGCCTGCGGGCTGCGACCGCCCCACGCGGCCTTGGTGAGTTCACCGTGCCGTGGCATGGCGTGCCGTGGCGTGGCGTGCCGTGGCGTGCCGTGCCGACGCCCGTTGCAGAGCGGCACGCGTTCCCTTCTTCCGGCGATTCTCGATTCTTTGTTTTGGTGTTTAGCCCGAGGCAGAGGTCGCAAACGGGTTTTGATTCCTTACCCGTACCCTACCCGTACCCGTACCCTACCCGAAATGAGTGACAAACGATGACTCACCAGTGACTCACGGCCTACCCGTACCCGTACCCGGCCGCACCAGGGTCGCAAACGGGTACCCGTACCTGGCCGGGTACGGGTAGCCGGGTATCGGGTAGGGTACGGGTATCGGGTACCCGGTTGCGACCTCTGCCCCGAGGGTGTAAATATTGTCAATGGATGAAATAAATCAACTGACACCACAGGGGGGAGGGAGGCTGGTGGAGCCGGCGTTGTCTTTCGACGTAACACGACGGCCGTCGCGATGGTGTCGTTTTTATTTATTATTTCTTTCTAACTTTGTCAGTTTTTACTCGGCGTCATTTATCGCCTGGCGTCTTCTGCTTTGCCGTCACGTTTTCAAGGGCATCGCTCAAAGGCTTCTCCGACCTGCAGTTCGCCCGGCGTAAAACCCTTCGCCACGAGACTTTCTGAACATTTCGGTGGCTAGGAGATGTTGACTACCTCGCCTGGTACGCAGGAGGTCGTGGGTTCAATCTTGACCCTGACGCCTGCTGTGTATTTGGAGTTTGCGGTGTGTGTCTCTCTCTCATCATCATCTTCACGGTGGCTAGGAGATTGTTAACTACCTCGCCTGGTACACAGGAGGTCGTGGGTTCAATCTTGACCCTGACGCCTGCTGTGTATTTGGAGTTTGCGGTGTGTGTCTCTCTCTCATCATCATCTTCACGGTGGCTAGGAGATGTTGACTACCTCGCCTGGTACGCAGGAGGTCGTGGGTTCAATCTTGACCCTGACGCCTGCTGTGTATTTGGAGTTTGCGGTGTGTGTCTCTCTCTCATCATCATCTTCACGGTGGCTAGGAGATTGTTAACTACCTCGCCTGGTACACAGGAGGTCGTGGGTTCAATCTTGACCCTGACGCCTGCTGTATATTTGGAGTTTGCGGTGTCTCTCATCATCATCATCATCTCAGTGGCTAGGAGATTGTTAGCTACCTCGCCTGGTACGCAGGAGGTCGTGGGTTCAATCTTGACCCTGACGCCTGCTGTGTGTATTTGGAGTTTGCGGTGTCTCTCTCATAATCATTGCTGGCTAGGAGATTTCGATTTAAAGCTTTCGTGACTGCAGGGATTCATAATGTTGGTTCTTTCGGTAAAGTCACGTAGAAGGGAAATAATAAAATAATACTGCAATCAAATTCTCACGACGCCCACTGCTGTATATTTGGAGTTTGCGTGTCCGTCTCCCCGTGGTCGCCTGACTCTTTTTGGTTGTCGTTGTTGTTGTGGGTACGTGCAGGCACCGTGCGCTTCATTGATTACGAGTACGCGAGCTACAACTACCAGGCCTACGACATCGGAAACCACTTCAACGAGTTTGCAGGTGAGAGGGAGGTTGATCCGTCACGCGGTGAGCTGAACTTCAACTTGTTTTATTTTACCGGGAGGGGGGTAAGGCCCGCCGCCACCACTCGACACTGCCAGTTAGCAAGGTTTGTGTCACGTTCACAGAACGTGCCGTACGTCGCAAACAATAGCTGCTCAACAAAGTAGTGGCTTTGTCATCGTCATCGCGTGGAAAAATGTCGAGCAGCAGCAGCAGCCCAACACGGACAACCCCGGGTCGTGAAATGACCCGACCTTCCGGAAATTCTCCCTTAAATCGCACTAAATGAAATTCAACGCGCGGAAATGTTTGCGTTCGTAGTTAGGTGGGCGCAAAGTGGTGCGGTGCGGTGAGTTCGCGGTTGAATACCGCGTAGCGAGCAGGCGTAAGGCGGGGGGCAAAGCCTCCTTACGCCACACTAGGATTACGGTCAACGGGATTTATTTTTGATTTTGGGGGAAATTTGTTCAGTTTTCCGACATACGGAAAATTCGAGTTTACGGATCGTTCGCGGGAACCTCTGACCTCCTACCGTAACCCGGGGGGTGCCTAATACTCTTTAACGCGCGATTGTTGATTCTAAATGTGGAGGGGGGGGGGGGAGGGAAACTGGAGGGATCCCAGAGAAAAAATCCACGTGACCACGGGGAGAGAGAGCGAGAGAGCGAGAGATGGTTCTGACGCGGAAAATGCTCGTCTCTGAACGGTTGACTCCAAGTTACTTTCTCGATCTGCGCGGCTGACCGGAGCCATGGAGTGCGCAGAGCGGTGCGGTAAACACAGCGGCGTGTTTACCGCTTTCTTTGTTGATGTTGGGTTATATCGCTTAAATATAAACGTGTCGTTAAACCCGCCACCGCCACCCGACGACACGGCCAACTAGAAAGGTTTGTCACGTAAACTAAACGACACGTTCCTAGTGCAGCACCACCACTAGTTGTGTGTTAGAGAGTAAAACGCACAACGCACTCGCGAAACTCGCCCACTCGCTTACTCCTCACACTCGCCACACTGCAGGTCACAGCACTTCATGCTCACCCACTCACTCACTCGCTCACCAACTCACCAGACTGCAGGTCACAGCACTGCTCACTCACTCACTCACTCACTCGCTCACCAACTCACCAGACTGCAGGTCACAGCACTGCTCACTCACTCACTCACCCACTCACCAACTCACCACACTGCAGGTCACAGCACTGCTCACTCACTCACTCACCCACTAACCAACTCACCACACTGCAGGTCACAGCACTGCTCACTCACTCACTCACCCACTCACCAACTCACCACACTGCAGGTCACAGCACTGCTCACTCACTCACTCACCCACTCACCAACTCACCAGACTGCAGGTCACAGCACTTCATGCTCACCCACTCACTCACCAACTCTCACCACTGCAGATCACAGCACCTCTCGCTCACTCACCCACTCACTCACCAACTCACCACACTGCAGGTCACCTCACTCGCTCACCCGCTCACTCGCTCACTCACTCACCAACTCACCACACTGCAGGTCACAGCACTCGCTCACTCGCTCACTCGCTCACTCACTCACCCACTCGCTCACTCACTCACCCACTCACCAACTCACCACACTGCAGGTCACAGCACTTCATGCTCACCCACTCACTCACCCACTCACCACACTGCAGGTCACAGCACTCGCTCACTCGCTCACTCACTCACCCACTCGCTCACTCACTCACCCACTCACCAACTCACCACACTGCAGGTCACAGCACTTCATGCTCACCCACTCACTCACCCACTCACCAACTCACCACACTGCAGGTCACAGCACTCGCTCACTCGCTCACTCGCTCACTCACTCACCCACTCGCTCACTCACTCACCCACTCACCAACTCACCACACTGCAGGTCACAGCACTTCATGCTCACCCACTCACTCACCCACTCACCAACTCACCACACTGCAGGTCACAGCACTCGCTCACTCGCTCACTCACTCACCCACTCGCTCACTCACTCACCCACTCACCAACTCACCACACTGCAGGTCACAGCACTTCATGCTCACCCACTCACTCACCCACTCACCAACTCACCACACTGCAGGTCACAGCACTCGCTCACTCGCTCACTCGCTCACTCACTCACCCACTCACCAAGTCACCAGACTGCAGGTCACAGCACTTCATGCTCACCCACTCACTCACCAACTCTCACCACTGCAGATCACAGCACTGCTCACTCACTCACTCACCAACTCACCAGACTGCAGGTCACAGCACTTCATGCTCACCTACTCACTCACCAATTCACCAACTCACCACACTGCAGATCACAGCACCTCTCGCTCACTCACTCACCCACTCACCAACTCACCACACTGCAGGTCACAGCACTGCTCACTCACTCACTCACCCACTCACCAACTCACCAGACTGCAGGTCACAGCACTTCATGCTCACCCACTCACTCACCAACTCTCACCACTGCAGATCACAGCACCTCTCGCTCACTCACCCACTCACTCACCAACTCACCACACTGCAGGTCACCTCACTCGCTCACCCGCTCACTCGCTCACTCACTCACCAACTCACCACACTGCAGGTCACAGCACTCGCTCACTCGCTCACTCGCTCACTCACTCACCCACTCGCTCACTCACTCACCCACTCACCAACTCACCACACTGCAGGTCACAGCACTTCATGCTCACCCACTCACTCACCCACTCACCACACTGCAGGTCACAGCACTCGCTCACTCGCTCACTCACTCACCCACTCGCTCACTCACTCACCCACTCACCAACTCACCACACTGCAGGTCACAGCACTTCATGCTCACCCACTCACTCACCCACTCACCAACTCACCACACTGCAGGTCACAGCACTCGCTCACTCGCTCACTCGCTCACTCACTCACCCACTCGCTCACTCACTCACCCACTCACCAACTCACCACACTGCAGGTCACAGCACTTCATGCTCACCCACTCACTCACCCACTCACCAACTCACCACACTGCAGGTCACAGCACTCGCTCACTCGCTCACTCACTCACCCACTCGCTCACTCACTCACCCACTCACCAACTCACCACACTGCAGGTCACAGCACTTCATGCTCACCCACTCACTCACCCACTCACCAACTCACCACACTGCAGGTCACAGCACTCGCTCACTCGCTCACTCGCTCACTCACTCACCCACTCACCAAGTCACCAGACTGCAGGTCACAGCACTTCATGCTCACCCACTCACTCACCAACTCTCACCACTGCAGATCACAGCACTGCTCACTCACTCACTCACCAACTCACCAGACTGCAGGTCACAGCACTTCATGCTCACCTACTCACTCACCAATTCACCAACTCACCACACTGCAGATCACAGCACCTCTCGCTCACTCACTCACTCACTCACCAACTCACCACACTGCAGGTCACAGCACTTCATGCTCACCCACTCACTCACCAACTCTCACCACTGCAGATCGCAGCACCTCCCGCTCACTCACCCAATCACTCACTCACCAACTCACCACACTGCAGGTCACCACACTCGCTCACTCGCTCACTCGCTCACCCAATCACTCACTCACCAACTCACCACACTGCAGGTCACAGCACCTCCCGCTCACTCACCCAATCACTCACTCACCAACTCACCACACTGCAGATCGCAGCACCTCTCGCTCACTCACCAACTCACTCACCAACTCACTAACTCACTCACCAACTCGCGCACGGGCGCTTTCGGCGTGGGCAACCTCTACGTATGTTCACGTGCTGAGCTTCTCTCACGCCTCGCGTAGCCCTGACCGTGCTGATCCTTAGTGACGTGTGTGCGTGTGTGCGTGTGTGCGTGCGTGCGTGTGTGCGTGCGTGTGTGCGTGCGTGTGCGTGCGTGCGTGTGTGCGTGTTTGTGCATGGGGAGCGGTAGTGTAGCGGTTAGCGCGCTGCGCTATGAACCCGGCGACCCGGGTTCGATTCCCGCTCACGGCCAACACCAGTGATGATTATCTGAACCGGTCCTGGGCCTCCCCTAGGTCGATTCAGCCTTAAATGAGTACCTGGTGCGGTGTGTAAACATCGCCACTGGGGAAACAAAGGCGGTCGGGCGTGGTGCTGGCCACCCACCCCCTCGTGCGCCGTTCCGGCCTTCATAGGTGCTCGCTAACAGCACTTGCCCCTACAGTCTGTTAAGGCTACACGGGGATCTTTGTGTGCGTGCGTGTGCGCTGTTCCCAGGGGTGAGCGACGTCGACTACAGCCTGTACCCCGACAAGGATCTGCAGCTGCGCTGGCTGCGGGCCTACCTGGAGGCCTACGAGGAGCTCACCAAGAACCCCAGCCGCTCCGTGGGCGACGCGGACGTGCACAGGCTCTACGTCCACGTCAGCAAGTTCTCCCTGGCGAGTGGCGGCGCCCCCCCCCTCTCCTCCCCCCCCCCCCTCTCCCCGGCCCCTCCCCCACGCTGCTCATTCGTTGCTCCGGTCCGTTGTCCGGTCGCGATTTGCAGAGGTCGTCAGGTTTTTCTTCCGGTTCTGTGACGCGCGCACACACGCAACCCGCCACACACGCGGGTACACCCGGTGGGCATGGCAACACACGCACACGTGCACACACGCGGGTTCACCCGGTGGGCGTGGCAACACACGCAACCCGGCGCACACGCGCGGGTTCACCCGGTGGGCATGGCAACACACGCACACGTGCACATGCGCGGATTCACCCGGTGGGCATGGCAACACACGCATACGTGCACACGCGCGGGTTCACCCGGTGGCCATGGCAACCAGGCACACACGCGCGGGTTCACCCGGTGGGCATGGCAACACACGCACACGTGCACACACGCGGGTTCACCCGGTGGGCATGGCAACACACGCACACGTGCACATGCGGGTACAACACAGTGCACATGGCAACACGTGCACACGCGGGTACACCCGGTGGCCATGGCAACACACGCACACGTGCACACGCGCGGGTTCACCCGGTGGCCATGGCAACACACGCACACGTGCACACGCGCGGACACATCCCCCGCGCCTCTGACCCCAGCCTCTGCACACCGAGCGTGACCCTCAAACTTTGCGCGTTAGAAATCCCAAACCGATAATTGTTTTTTTACCCTTCTATCTGGCAACAAAACTGACACCTTTTTTACGAGGAGTCATGTTTGCATAGACCACAATACCTGCAGTCATAATGCAAACAAAAAACACAACTCTGATAATGTATGTGCACTGTCCTTGAAGTTGATTGGTCCACACCCGAGACAGCTTTCCTTAGAGCCTAGTCTCACATGGGTTGGACCAGATGACGCCATTATCAGAGTTATGTTTTTTGTTTGCATTATGACTGCAGATATTGTGGTCGATGCAAACATGACTCCTCGTAAAAAGGTGTCAGTTTTGTTGCCAGATAAAAGGGTAAAAAACAATTATATTTTTTACTGGATAATGAGGTTCCAATGGTGTAAATGCTTAACGGTTATTAAATATGGGGGGCGGTCTTTTAACTAAATGGGGAAGTGGGGGGGGGGGGTGGAGTGTCCTATGGATAGTTTTGCCCTCCCCCGTCCTCGCCATAGGAATGAGGAATTTCCACCACTGGCCCCCCAGCCAGAGCTTGCCGTGACAGCAGGATGAAAGAGTCGTTCTCTTGACCGACCCTGACCGATGGACCCCCCGCGTGTCTCCGTTGGCCTCCTTGCAGGTGTCTCACTACTTCTGGGGCCTGTGGTCCTTGATCCAAGCAAAGTATTCCACCATCGACTTCGACTTCGTGGGGTGAGCTTCGCGTAAATCGGCGCGCGCCAAAGGTTTGTCGGAAAGCGGCCGACGCTCGTCTGTTGTGTCGGCGAAGAGAACCGGGGGGGGGGCGTGCGTGCGGCGGTGGTGTGTGTGGTGGTGGTGGTGGTGTATGTGTGTGCCCACGTGGTGGTGGTGTGTGTGTGTGTGCCCACGTGGTGGTGATGGTGGTGTGTGTGTGCAGGTGGTGGTGTGTGTGTGTGTGTGTGTGCTGGTGGTGGTGTGTGTGTCTGGTGGTGGTGTGTGTGTGTGCTGGTGGTGGTGTGTGTGTGTGTGCTGGTGGTGGTGTGTGTGTGTGTGCCCGCGTGGTGGTGGTGTGTGTGTGTAGTGTGCCCTGGTGGTGGTGTGTGTGTGTGTGTGCCCGCGTGGTGGTGATGGTGTGTGTGTGTGTGCCCGCGTGGTGGTGGTGATGGTGTGTGTGTGTGTGTGTGCCCTGGTGGTGGTGTGTGTGTGCCCGCGTGGTGGTGATGGTGTGTGTGTGTGTGCCCGCGTGGTGGTGGTGATGGTGTGTGTGTGTGCCCGCGTGCTGGTGGTAGTGGTGTGTGTGTGTGTGCTGGTGGTGGTGTGTGTGTGTGTGGTGGTGGTGGTGGTGGTGGGGTGTGTGTGGGTGTGTGTGTGGTGGTGGTGGTGGGGTGTGTGTGTGCCCGCGTGGTGGTGGTGGTGTGTGTGTGCTGGTGGTGGTGTGTGTGTGTGTGTGGTGGTGGTGTGTGTGTGTGTGCCCGCGTGGTGGTGGTGGTGATGGTGTGTGTGCATGGTGGTGGTGATGGTGTGTGTGTGTGTGTGTGCCCGCGTGGTGGTGGTGGTGGTGGTGTGTGTGCATGGTGGTGGTGGTGGTGTGTGTGTGTGTGTGCCCGCGTGGTGGTGGTGGTGGTGGTGTGTGTGTGTGTGTGCCCGTGTGGTGGGAGTGGTGGTGGTGTGTGCGCATGGTGGTGGTTGTGTGTGTGTGTGTGCCCGCGTGCTGGTAGTGGTGTGTGTGTGTGCCCGCGTGCTGGTGATGGTGTGTGTGTGCGTGCTGGTGATGATGTGTGTGTGTGTGCTGGTGATGGTGGTGTGTGTGTGCTGGTGATGGTGGTGTGTGTGTTCTGGTGATGGTGGTGTGTGTGTGTGTGTGCTGGTTATGGTGTGTGTGTGTGTGCTGGTGATGGTGGTGTGTGTGTGTGTGCTGGTGATGGTGTGTGTGTGTGCTGGTGATGGTGGTGTGTGTGTGTGTGATGGTGATGGTGGTGTGTGTGTGCTGGTGATGGTGGTGTGGGGTGTGTGTGTGCCCAAGTGCTAGCGATGGTGTGTGTGTGTGTGCTGGTGATGGTGATGGTGTGGGTGTGCTGGTGATGGTGTGTGTGTGTGTGCTGGTGATGGTGTGTGTGTGTGTGTGTGTGCTGGTGATGGTGGTGTGTGTGTGTGTGCTGGTGATGGTGGTGTGTGTGTGTGTGCTGGTGATGGTGTGTGTGTGTGGGTGATGGTGGTGTGTGTGTGTGTGATGGTGATGGTGGTGTGTGTGTGCTGGTGATGGTGGGCTGGGGTGTGTGTTGTGCCCAAGTGCTAGCGATGGTGTGTGTGTGTGTGCTGGTGATGGTGTGTGTGTGTGTGCTGGTGATGGTGTGTATGTGTGTGCTGGTGATGGTGGTGTGTGTGTGTGTGTGCTGGTGATGGTGGTGTGTGTGTGCTGGTGTGGTGTGTGTGTGTGCTGGTGATGGTGGTGTGTGTGTGTGCTGGTGAGTGTGGTGTGTGTATGCTGGTGAGTGTGGTGTGTGTGTGCTGGTGATGGTGGTGTGTGTGTGTGCTGGTGATGGTGTGTGTGTGTGTGATGGTGATGGTGGTGTGGGGTGTGTGTGGCCCACGTGCTAGCGATGGTGTGTGTGTGTGTGCTGGTGATGGTGATGGTGTGTGTGTGTGTGATGGTGATGGTGTGTGTGTGTGTGATGGTGATGGTGGTGTGGGGTGTGTGTGTGCCCACGTGCTAGCGATGGTGTGTGTGTGCTGGTGATGGTGATGGTGTGTGTGTGTGTGTGCTGGTGATGGTGTGTGTGTGTGTGTGCTGGTGATGGTGTGTGTGTGTGTGCTGGTGATGGTGTGTGTGTGTGTGCTGGTGATTGTGTGCTGTGATGGTGTGTGTGATGTGTGCTGGTGATGGTGTGTGTTGTGGTGCTGGTGATGGTGTGTGTGTGTTTGGTGATGGTGGTGTGTGTGTGCTGGTGATGGTGTGGTGTGTGTGTGGTGATGGTGTGTGTGTGTGGCTGGTGATGGTGTGTGTGTGTGTGTGCTGGTGATGGTGATTGTGTGTGAGTGCTGGTGATGGTGATGGTGTGTGTGTGCTGGTGATGGTGTGTGTGTGTGTGTGTTGGTGATGGTGATGGACCTGCGTGCCCGCGCGGTGTGGTTGTCGTGTGCCCGCGTGGTGTGTGTGTGTTGGTGATGGTGTGTGTGTGGGTGATGGTGTATGTGTGTGTGTGTGCTGGTGATGGTGTGTGTGTGTGTGTGCTGGTGATGGTAATGGACCTGCGTGGTGGTGGTGTGCCCACAGCTACGCCATCGTGCGCTTCACGCAATACCGGGAGACGAAGCCTCACGTCATGGCTCTGGAAGCGCCGCTCTAGAAGATTGTGCCACGCTCTCCCAACCTCGTGACCGCACAACAACCACAGACGCACTCACGCTCGCACAGACACACACTCGCACACACGCGAAAAACCGACCTTGGCACAAAACGCCCAATCACTTGTAGCGAAAAACACATTCCCAAATGGGTCGGGCCCCGTGGTTGCGAACGGAGCAAGGCGAATAATTGTCGTTTTGAAAGAACTGCGCTTTCGCCGCTAAATCATCCTCGCTCACTCCTTGGCTTCTTCCCCCCCCTCCCTCCGCCCCTTTCGCCGCTGCCCCCCGCCCTGCGGCACACCTCCATCGTCGTGGTACGGGCGCAGGCTACGTGTGGGTAGGTGTGTGTGGGTAGGTGTGGGTGTGTGTGGGTGGGGGTGGGTGGGTTGGTGTGGATGTGTGTGTGGGTGGGGGTGTGTGGGGGTGTGTGTGGGTGTGTGGGGGTGTGTGGGGGTGGGTTGGTGTGTGGTGTGTGTGTGGGGTGTGTGTGTGGGGTGTGTGTGTGGGGTGTGTGTGTGGGGTGTGTGTGTGGGGTGTGTGTGTGGGGTGTGTGTGTGTGGGTGTGTGTGTGTGTGGGTGGGTGTGTGTGTGGGGTGTGTGGGTGTGTGTGTGTGGGTGTGTGTGGGTGTGTGTGTAGAGGTGTGTGTGTGTGATCCTACCCACCGATTCCCACGCCGCGCGCGTACGCGATGTGACCAACGCCACGGGCGGCCGGCCGCTACCTCCCTCGTGGCCTTGAACCCGGTGGGGTTCTCGATGGTGGGGGGGTGGGTGGGGGGGTGGGGTGGGTGAGGGGCCCCGGGTCGACGTCGATTGTTTTGCCCTCGCCGGCTCGCACAACGGTTCCCCGCGAGGTCGCGATGCCGTACGGCGTGGCGGTGCCGTACGGTGTAGCCGTGCCCCCCCCACCACACCACCACCACCAAACCCCCACCCCTCTCCCAACCCGCCCCCCCCCCCTCCCTCTCTCTCCCCGAGCGCTTTCGGGTTGAACCGTAGCGGAGGGGAGGGGGAGTACGCCACTTTGGGGACCAGCAGTCGACAACCCACGGCGGCATTACATTGGTGGGGGCGGGGAGATGCGTGGAGTTTGGAGTTTGAGACCAAACCTCGTCTCGGTAGCTTCCCCCCCCGCCCCTCCCCCCCCGCCCCTCTCCCCCCCCCCTGTGTCAATCTGAGCCTCGCTGCTGCCGTGTCGGTGGTTATGGTTTCGCCTCTTTCACTACACCCCCCCCCCCCCCCCACTTAACGAAACCAAATTTTGCTCGATGTAGTGACCCCGTGTGAGACGTCACAGCCCTAACCCCCCCCCCCCCGCCCCCCCATCATCATCACAGTTCACCAGCTGGGCGTCTCGGTCGACCACCTCATCTCGTCGACCACCGCGTCTCGGTCGACCACCGCGTCTCGGTTACTCTACATCCTGGTGACCGAGTCTAAGTGACTCCCTCTTCGTTACAACATCCCCCCCCCCCCGCTGCCAACAGAGGGAGGGGGGGGCCCCCTTTACCCCCCCTCGACACGCAAAAAAAGAACAACCAAATTTGCCCGCCCCGCGTGTCTATTTCTTCATCGTCTTTCTGTTCTCCGAGTACTTTAAACGCCTCGTTTTGAATGTCGCGGCACGTGCGTCCACGCCGCTTGGTTTGTCGAAGCGAAAAAGGTCCTTGACGTCGCGAAGTCCGTCGGCAAACCCTCGTACACGCGACACGAACCCAAACCCCCCCCCCTGCCCCTCGCGTTGTTTTTCGTCTCTCGGGTCCCCCGCATCCCCACCACCATCCCCACCACTATCCCCACCATCCCCGCCACCATCCCCACCACCATCCCCACCACCATCCCCACCATCACCACCATCCCCACCACTATCCCCACCACCATCCCCATCACCACCATCCCCACCACTATCCCCATCACCACCATCCCCACCACTATCCCCACCATCCCCGCCACCATCCCCACCACCATCCCCACCACCGTCCCCATCACCACCATCCCCACCACTATCCCCACCACTATCCCCACCATCCCCGCCACCATCACCACCATCCCCACCACCATCCCCACCAGCATCACCCCCACCATCCCCACCACCATCCCCACCACTATCCCCACCACCATCCCCACCACCATCCCCGCCACCATCCCCACCACCATCCCCACCACCATCATCCCCACCACCATCATCCCCACCACCATCCCCACCACTATCCCCACCATCCCCGCCACCACCCCCACCACCCCACCACCCCACCATCACCACCATCCCCGCCACCACCCCCCACCACCCCCACCACCCCCACCATCACCACCATCCCCGCCACCATCCCCACCACCCCCACCACCCCCACCACCCCCACCATCACCACCATCACCGCCACCATCCCCACCACTATCCCCGCCACCATCCTCGCCACCATCCCCACCACCACCACCCCCACCACCATCCCCACCACCACCACCCCCACCACCATCCCCACCACCATCCTCGCCACCATCCTCGCCACCATCCCCGCCACCACCCTCACCACCATCCCCACCACCATCACCACCACCCCCACTATCCCCACCACCATCCTCACCCATCCCCACCACCATCCCCATCACCCCCACCATCACCACCATCCCCGCCACCATCCCCATCACCCCCACCATCACCATCACCCCCACCATCACCACCATCACCACCACCATCCCCACCACCATCACCACCACCCCAACCACCCCCACCACCACCCCCACCACCCCCACCATCCCCACCACCCCCACCACCACCCCCACCACCATCCCCACCATCCCCCGATGTTTCCCCACGGAGGGAATAAGCACCTTAACGATGTTATTTATGCGTTGTGTGTAAAAAAAAAATCCCCGGCCCTCGTTGACGTCCAACGTAATTCCGTTTAAAAATGTTTTTCTTCTTCTGCTGCTGCTGCTTTGCGGGCGAAACCAAAACGGGGGGGGGGGGGGGGGGCGTTACGGAAAAGCGCGGAAAGCCGGAGGTGGGAAGTGGGGGGGGAGAAATTATTTATGTTGGTGGTGAACAAGAATGTGATTATCTGTCTCTTCTCTCGAGCTCCTACACAAGTGTTGTAGAAGGCAGGTCACAAGACACTGTATGAGTATTGTGCTCTGGCCCACGTCACCTTTTTTGATCCGTTGGCGAAGCTAACGAGCGTCACGGATTATTTTTTTCCTCTTCTGTGCCCCGACGGTCGGCCTTGAAGTCTCGCCCCGTCCCGCCCCCGGGTCCCCGCGACCTCCGTGAACTCTTTCTGTGGTGGTGCCGGTTTCAATGCCCGCAGCCCGACCAGCGGGCAGTGAAACGTGTGGGGGTTTGTGTTTTTATTAGTTTTTTTGCGTTGGCAAAAATGTCTCCCCGCCCACCGCCCCACGCGACGCGATTTGTCGCGGCGACGCGATGCGCCGGGTCGTGCGAGTGTGCCCCCCCACCTCTCCTGTGGAAACTTCCGTAGAGTTGTGGGGGGCGGGCGGGGGGGGGGGGGGCAGGGGTAGCTGCAGTTGTGAACAGCGACGCCGCCCCCCCCCCCCCCCCCCCCCCGCTATGAGACTTGCCCTGGGTGTTTACTCTGGGAGGGTTTTGTGTTACGGGAAGTAAACCGGTACAGCGTACCGGCCACACTTCCAGGGCCACGGCGCTGTGCGCGTTGCGTGTGTAACGGAGCACGCGGGGTACACAAAACAAAACGTGGAGCTGTCTTGTTGATTGGGCTTGCCACCCTTGGGATGGAACTGCGCCAGGATTTCGACAGATGGCCAAAGCGGACACGGGGCCATCTGTGTCAGGCGCAAAGCGATTTTATTTCAGGGATGCTGGCTGTACTGAGGGTGCCGGTGGGTGGGTGGCTGAGTAGGTGAGTGGGTGGGTGGCTATGTAGGTGAGTGAGTGGTTGAGTAGCTGAGTGGGTGGGTGGGTAGCTGAGTAAGGAATTGTCTGAGTGACTATGTAGGTGAGTGAGTGGCTGAGTAGGCGACTGGGTGGGTGGCTATGGAGGCGAGTTCGTGGCTGGGTGGGTGGGTGGCTATGTAAGTGAGTGAGTGGCTGAGTAGGCGAGTGGGTGGCTGGGTGGGTGGCTGAGTAGGCGAGTGGGTGGGTAGCTGAGTAGGCGAGTGAGTGGATGGCTATGTAGGTGAGCGAGTGGCTGAGTAGGCGACTGCGTGGGTGGCTATGGAGGTGAGTTAGTGGCTGTGTGGCTGGCTGAGTAGGCGAGTGAGTGGATGGCTATGTAGGTGAGCGAGTGGATGAGTAGGCGGGTGGCTGTGTGAGTGGCTGAGTGAATCTGTGAGGTTATTGGGTGGTGCAGCTAGTTGGAAGCCAGTGGCTATGTTGAGAATGAAACGTCAAGACGTTTTGGATGTGCTGAGTGGGGGTGGCGGTGGTGTTTTGCGGGGTCAGAGAGAGTTAAGATGGCCTCGCGGTTATCGCAATGCGGTTCATACGCAAAGCAAAATTTTTTTTGTAAAAAAAAATTTCGAGGGGAGGGAGCGATTTTTGCCTCCCTCCCTTCCCCCCCCCCCCTGCCTTCTCGCGAGCATTCCAGTTGATGAAGGAAAAAAAAAAACACGTTCGTGTTGTAATTATTTAGTTGTAATTAACGGGTTGGCTTGCAACAACGAGAAATAACGAGTGCATAGCGCGCGTGGCGTGCGGAACGCCGTCTTTTGAAACGTTTCTGAAACAGGGCCATCCTTTTTCGGCGCAGCGTTTTTGCCGGCTTTCCCAGCCTCCCTGAATATTAACATAATAATATTATTATTTATTAAGTTTTGCTTGTTCGCCCAAAGTGTGTGTGTGTGTGGGGTATGTGTGGGTGCGTTGCTGGCAAGGCTTCCCAACTGAAGACTTTTAGAAGTTTTTCTGCCCCCTGATGACGACCCACCTGTCAACCCCATCACGCTTTACACCTCCCCCCCCCATACCCCCCATACTTGTACAGGGGAATTTGAGTTTTTCAGGTCCATACGGCGTAACAGCCCCTTTCACTACGGGCAAAAAAAGAAAAAACATTTTCGTATATTTGTCGATTTGTGTGTGTTTCTCTCCTTGTGATTGGTCGTCGTTGAGATTTCTGAGGGGCACGGGGTGACCAATGAGGTCTGCGTTGGTCTGTAATAAGATTTGGAAACTGGTGAGGGTTGATAGGTTTGTGATGATGATGATGATGCTGCTGCTTCTGAATCCCAAACGAGTGTGATTGTATGGAGCAAAGGTCGCAACCGGGTACCCGATACCCGTACCCTACCCGATACCCGGCTACCCATACCCGGGTACGGTACGGGTACCCGTGTGCGGCCGGGTACCGGTACAGGTAGGCCGTGAGTCACTGGTGAGTCACCGTTTGTCACTCATTTCGGGTAGGGT